CAAACCGTGAAGCCGGTAGCATTCGGGCAGCCCTTTTCGCATGGCTGGGAGTGGGAGGGAGGAGGGGGCGGAGTTAGGGCGGGGAAGGGGTGGGGAAATGGGCGGGGCCAGGGCCCCATGGAGGATCCTCTTTTTTTATTTGTTAAGGATGGTAACCCTAGCTTTGGCCCTGGACAGTGGGGCTCGGCTTTGGTCCCAGGCCCCAGCAAGTCTAACACCAGTCCTGGCAACCCCATTAAATGGGGTCGCAACCCACTTTGGGGTCGCAGCCCATGGTTGTAGAAGCCCTGGACTATTAAATGGTGTCTTTTTCAAATAAATTAAAAGAATTCTACCTGGCATAGTGTGATAGAATGTACCCATGTCCACACCCTACCCACTATTGTAATAATCTTTGTATAAAGTATGCCTTTTGAAATATTATTTGAAAACTCATAATTTGCTGGGTATTGTTGTCCTGGTAAAATGTGTGTGACAACATTGTATGTGAAGTTATAAGATTCCACTCTATGGTGTTATTAACACACATTCCAAACTGAGGCTGGCAAATAGGTCTGTCTCAAACAAGCAAAGGAATGTGTGCTCTGCTTAAGCTGCATTTAAGCAGTAACAGAGTCATCAAGCAGAATGGGAAATAAAGGAAGCTCAACCTGGTGTGGAAAAAGCAGCAGAGAACTTCCTTTTCTCTGTCTCCTGGTACCTAGCTGGAAATGTTTTTCAAGAAGGGCACTGAGAATACAAAAAGGGACAAACACCCCAATGCACCTCCCCTTCCACCCACTGCATTCATGACACCTGAAGCAACAAAGAAGCATTAAGTGGATCCTGGAAGATCCTAAGAAATCTGGTAGTAAGACTGCTGAAGGCATATGTTGAGAAAGCTTTGCTTTGACTTTAACATAGTTTGTTAAGTTAGGCACAAGTTGCGCTTTATCTTTAGTTTTCTTGTAAACATTTCTGACATTGATGCCTCATTACTTATACTCACTTAAAATCTCTCTCTTTATAGTTAATAAACTTGTTTTATCTAATCCAGTGCGCTTAAATTGAAGTGTTTTGGAAACTCCATTTGGGGTGGCAAGTTGTGTGCATATTATTTCTATTGAAGAACTAATAGACTTTATATAAATTTGTCCAGGAATGGGCTTGGCAGTACAGTCCATACATTTTGGGTGTTGGGGTCACCCTGCAGTATAACCAAGGCTGGTGAGAGCCAGAGTGCAATCCAAGTGTGGCTGGCAGGCTGTAGTTGCACACAGACACTCAGGGTGTGGCTTGCATGCTGGAAGGCTGTTTGTGAATGTCCCAGGTGGGAACTCCTTCAGCAAAGCATCATATGGCACCCAAGGTTACAGGGAAGAGGTGACACAGCTGCTCATTAGTCTAGATTGTATCCTAGTATGTCACACAGACTTGTACAGCTCCCATCACTGTAACATGTGATCAGTTGATGATGTGAGGATAACTATCATCCCTTTACAGATGGAGAACTGAGGCAGACAGAGGGTGACTTGCCAAAGGAAGTGTGTGGCACACCTAGGAAATCCTTGTTTTCCTAGTCCCAGCCTAGCGTCATAACAACTGGACCATATTTTCTCCATTTCAGTTTCTGAGATAGCATCCTTTAAATAGTATGTCCTGATTATAAAAAAAATAAAAATTGAATAGGTTTTGTGACCACCCGTTACTATTGTTAAGGGACTCTACAGTAAGAGACAACCTGACTGACTAGACAGGGAAAACAGTAAATTGTCTATACGCAAAAGTGCTGTCAAATGCATATTGTAAACAAATTAAGAAAAAAAGAGTTTTGTTAACTTTTTGCAGTTATAGTAACCTTCACTGTAACTACAGAAGGTCCAAAATTTTCAACCAATATTTTCAATTCAACTGTCACTTTAAGGCAAAGGAATTACACCTTTGATGAATCTCAACAGTATAAACAAGGACTTTAACACAGAAAGGTTTGCTGGCATACAGGTGAGTCTCAGAAACTACAGTGCATACAGGAAAAGATAAGAAAGGACCTAATGAAATAATGCGAACACCAGAGGCACAATTCTCCCATTGAAGTCAAACCTGGATCAAACCACCACTGATCTGAAGTTTTGCCAAAGAAAAGCAAACACAGATACAACCTTATTTTTGACATTTATTTACTTTTGACTATTTATTAGTAAAATCTTAATGTTTAATATAATGTTTCATATGGATTTGAAATTTGTCATCTACAGCACACACTGACCTTGTCTTCATTTATCATGCAGCTCATTGGGTCATAATGGGCCATAAGATATCTTAATGGCATTTTCAGTTTTAAATATTTTCAAAGCATGACCTCTATTTGTACATCTGCAATCATTTGCGCTTTCAATTTTAAATATACTATTACCAGTGAATGCAATTTACAAGCACCATTCAAGCATTTGTGCACAAAAGTTATAGTACGCAAAGACCATTTGCTAGTTATGTATGTGCAAAGATGCATGCACAAAAATAAAGGCAAATTTTGGCTTAAATCTTGTTTAATATTGACACGTTGTTTGAAGATTGGCCACTCCACATACATATTACACTCTAAGAACTTGAGATTTAGGGTGGTTAAAATGCCTTCTGAGCTACTACTAGAGAACAGGAAACTCTCCACATAACTCCACTGGAAATTGTACACTTTGATTGCCCAATCCTGCAGTGAGCTGAGTGTGGGCAGACCTCTGTGACAGCACAGAGCCCCATTGGATCAGGGTCCACTTCTGGAGAACTCAAT